TTTTTTTTTTTTTTAAGATCTCCAACATAACCGGAGATTTTTCATGTAAACATTCTATTTGGAATATAATAGACACAGAAAGAGGCAAATATCATAAGATAGAGTTGTGTGAATTTTAGGCAGCTTTGCACTAACCAAATCAAGATATAGAGCATCGATAACACCTAAAAACTTCCTAAATGACCTTTCAAAGGTGTTAATTTCCAAAGGTAATCTTTCTGACTTCGTTTACCAGGGATTTTTAGTTTGTCTTCTTAAAAAGAGTTATATAATATATGTTGAGTGGCTTCCTTCATGTAATATTATGTTTGTGAGATTCATCATTCATTTATTTGTGTTGCTGTACATAGAACATTACAGGTATGCCTCGTCTGAGATGTGTTTACCTTTTCTGCCATTAAAGGCCATTTAGGTTGTTTCTGATTTGGCATCACATGAACAGTGCTGCTATGGAACTCTTGTGTTCACAGATGTGTGCTCTTCTATTGGATAATAGGATACATGCTCTGCTTCTATAAGCATTACCAATGTATTTTCTCATGTACCAATTTATACTCTCACTTGTAGTGTTGTGAGAGGTCTTGTTTCTCCATATCTTTAACAACCATTGAGATAATCTTTCTCATTTCAACAATTTTAGTAGATTTGCAGTATCTCATGATGGTTTCAATTTGCATTTCCCTGATGATGAATAAGACTGAATACTTGATCTCTGACCATTTAAATATCCCATTTGTTAAGTTCTTATTTGAATCTTTATTTTAATCTGTCTTTGTCTTGAGAGATGACCAAAAACCATTTACTTCACAGTTTGGGTGTGGGCGGTTGCCTATCTTAAGGAGAAGTTCATCTGTTTTAGAACCATGCTGTTCAATACAGAGGACAGTTAAAGTCAGCCTAGGAGGGTTTTAGGCATTATGCAAATACTACTGCATTTTACATAAGGGTGCACTTTTTACATAACACTCCACAGTCCCATTGTACTAGGCAGTGGGACATGTTGCTGAAAGACTTGGAGACAGAGTGCAAGACATAAGGTTTATTGAAAACTGCTTATGTGGAAGGTCCAGTGGTGAGGGGCTGGAAACATAGCTCTTCTATCCTTTATGGTGCTTTGCCAGAAAGCAGTGACTCTGTCCCTCACTGTGCTTTGTCCAGTAGCAGCTGGCTGGATGAGCACTGATCCCCTCCACAGCTCTCTGCTCCATGGTAGTTACTGCAGGGAGAGGAGAATCAATGAGTCAGGCTACAGAAGCAGTGACATCATTAGCTTGCTTCCTTGCATGATGTGACCAGCATTCCAAGGAACTTGACATACATGCAAGAAAGCAGCTTTCTAAGATAACACTAATTTCTCCTAATTCTCAGTATGCCTGAGAGAAAGTCCCTGTCTTTCAAGTAACACTTATCTTGACCATCTGGCTGGGGCCCACTCATTGTTCCCTTGAGAGGGTTAGATTCTTGGGAATATAAAGGAGCATTTTAGGGACATCATGTTTTACTGTTCTTTACTCCAAGACCAACACAAAGGGATTTGAGCATCCATGGGTTTGGATATCTGCTGGACAGCCCTGGATCCAATCTCCTGCTAATTTTGAGGGACAATCCTATGACTGTTGAGTACTTGAAATGTGGATAGTCCGAGTTAAAAGGTGCTGTCAGTGTAAATACAGACAGGATTCTAAAGGGGTAAGAAGAATACAACATATTTTAAGGTATTGGACCAAATAAAGCATATTATTAAAATGAACTTCAATGCTTCTTTTTTACTTTTAGTAATGTGAGAATTTTAAGAATTTTACAATTACATATGATTTTCATTATGCATCTATTAGAGTTGTTCAGAACTACTAGTATATTAATTATGGTGGGAAAAGAAAACAAATGCTTGGATTGTTCAAAAAAAATCATCTTAAAATTTTAGGTAATAAAAATAAGTGCTGGATTTAAAAATGTGTTATTGCTTGATTGCGAATTCCATGGTCTCAGCTTGAGTTTTTCTTCATTTCAGAGAAACGCTGTGATTTTCCCACGGTAGAAAATGGAAGGCTTGCCCAATATTACTATACTTTTAAGAGTTTTTACTTCCCAATAAGCATAGACAAAAAGTTGCCATTTTTCTGTTTGGCTGGCTACACAACTGAAAGTGGGAAACAAGAAGAGCAAAGCAGAAGTTCAGCAGAGGGCTGGTCTCTAGAACCAAGGTGCTTCAGTAAGTGAGCACGTTGTGTTTAACACAACGAGGGATGGCTATGGTGCTCCAAGAAACTAGTTTATTGAAAAAGCTAATTTATTCCTATGAAATATGGGCAGTGATTAAACTTTCTGGTATATAAGAACAGAATTACTAGTAAACTATTATATATTTTGTTAACCAATATCAGATATAATTAAAATCACTTGAATGTAGATACTTTTGTTAATATGTTGTAAGTTATTTAAATTGTCCACCTCCTCAGGTGACTCCAATTTAAAAATTGTTACTTCATGAGATTTCATTTGAATTTTGGCCTTTGATCAAGGACAACGGACAAGGCTTTTGACAATAAAAGACCGGTAGAGTTAGCCAACAGGTACGTGAAAAAAACAGAACACAGGTGCAAAGGCAAACTTTATTTTTCAGTTTTGCCAAAGGTTAATTGTGCCATGCATTCTTGGAATTTGGTGAAAATATATTTTGAGATTTATTTAAACTCTTTTAAGTTATTGGTGAGGTTCATAAAATAAATAACTTTTAAATTTTCTAGAAACATGTTCGGCCCCTGAATTACATAATAGAAATTATTCCACAACACAGAAAACATTCAAAGTGAAGGATAAAGTGCAATATGAATGTGCTGCTGGCTACTACACAGCTGGAGGAAAGCACACAGAGGAGGTGGAATGCCACACGTATGGATGGTTTCTCACACCAAAGTGCACCAGTAGGTTCTAACGTTCAACACAACTTATTTTCACTCTGAAAAAGTACCTCTCACACTGAACTATTTATGTTGTTATGATAATTATGACCCATTATCATATTTTTTTTTAGTTTTAATTGTATTCATAATAGAATTTGATCATTTAAAGTTTTCAAGTGGGAAAATTTATTTTTGCTTTTGGAATTTAAATAACCCTAATGATATATATCATAATTTATTTCATATATATATGAAATAAATTCAAAAGCTTTTACTAGCTAAAACAGCATAAGAGAAACTTATTAGTTTCTATTGAGATATGGGTTGTAAATAGTATATAAGTTTTAGGAAAAATAAACACTTTGTGTTTTTATTCATTCTTTCAATTTTAGAATTGCAGTGCTCTTCTTTAAGATTAATAGAGAATGGCTATTTTTATCCTATAAAGCAAACCTATGAAGCAGGAGATGTGGTTCAGTTTTTCTGTCGTGAAAAAATTATTATCTAAGTGGACCTGACATAATTTAGTGCTATAACTTTGGTTGGTACCCAGAATCTCCTGTATGTGAAGGTAAACTTTTAAACTTTATACCTGGGGAAGTAGCATATCTTAACCTCATATTTTAATAAGTTTTAATCTCTATGAGCTCTGAAAAAATATTTGTGGTGATATCTAATTCTAGAGAGCTGTGAAATTTGAAACAGGAGCTGGGAGAATGAACCAGGTTTCTGACCAGGGCTATGCAATGGGATTGCCTGGAACTATCAGAGTTTCCTAATTGCACCCAGTGAAAACTTGGACAGTTTTGTCATTTTCCAGTTGTA